TCGGAAGAGTGTCTAGTCGTAAGTCACGCGATTCAAGTCGATCGTAAGACACAGCCAGCCAGGTAGGCAATCCGACTACGTCGGATCGCAGACCATGCCCCATTCGTGTATGCCGGTTCTTGAGTGTGTGTGTTGAAATCGGAAATTCGGATTCTGGGTTTGAGTGTCTAGCTATCAGTCATCTCGGGTAAAAGTCGATTCCCGAGTGTCGGATGCAGTGGGGGACACTGGGGGTGTAAGTCGCTCGTATGCAAGTAGCTAGTCAGGTAGGCAATCCGACTACGTCGGATCGCAGACCATGCACCGGGCGTGTGTGTCCGGTTCTCGTATGTGTGTTGAAATCGGAAATTCGGATTCTGAGTTTGAGTGTCTAGCTATCAGTCATCTCGGGTGAAATCCGATTCCCGAACGGACAATCCGCCTACAGCGAAAAGTGCTCGAAACGGCCGTTCAAATATGAAAAAGTATACAGGAGGTAATAAAATTGTATTTGTTGATAATTATAGAGAACAGTTATCAGGTGTTTTATGTTAGGCTTCACTGTAATCAATGTAATCATTGTTATGTTTTCGCGGTTATAACAAATAAGTCGACAAAATCTAATTTTCTGATTGGATATTTTCTAAAATATACCTTCCATGTATATTTATTTAATTATGAGAATTAAGTCAAATTAACAAATAGATAATTATATTGGCGAATAACAAATTTTATTGAAATGTACTACTATCCTATTAGACGTAGGTATCTATAAATGAATACACTAGGGCTGGCGGTATTTTCGGTATACCGATAAATACCGGTATTTAAGAAATACCGGTATCCGGTATTTTCGGTATTTCAGAATACCGGTATACCGTGATTCGGTAATTACCGTCATTACCGAAAATACCCTACCCCGGTAATTACCGAAAATACCGTACCCCGGTAATTACCGAAAATACCGTACCCCGGTAAATACCGAAAATACCGTACCCCGGTAATTACCGAAAATACTAGCATATATATTCATAATGACATAATATAATATTGTAATTTTCGTTATCTGTTATCTAACATTATACTAAGATTATAAGAATGGATAGGACACGCCTATACTGGCTTCGCAAGACTAGGTTGCGGTATTTCACCGGGCAGTTTAAGGGTTTAAGTAGGCCTGTGCTAGGGGGAAATACGATGAAAATACATAGCGCTAGCATTTGGGCTTGCTCCACTTTCCTGCATTAACCCCGCTACCAGCCCACCCGTTTGTTACCAGTCCAGTACACAGAATTAGACGTGTATAAATTCTTTATCTCGATGCTCGGGAAAAAAAACTGCTATTTTTTGCCTAACTTGCTAATTAACATTTGACGATGTGGTAATATTGTTTTGATTATTATTAAATGGTCAATATCGTAAATATCGATTGTCAGGACTTGCCGCGTCCTGTATGCACTAGTGCCTTGTTATTGATATCTCGACATCACGTTGACTGTTATACAACAACTGTTGTCTGTATCTCTAGATCAGAGTTTCTCAACCTTTTTAGCGTCGCGAATACCAAAAAAATAGGTTAAAAAAAATCAGTTACCTCACGATCCCCTCCCTCTTCGTTTGTAGAAGTAATTTATTATTTTTCTAGAAACTACCCCTCCCATTTTCACCATATCACAAAATATTGGGAGTCTTAAAGTCTTAAACAATAATAAATAATTACACATGATTTTTAGGTGTTAAAGGTAAATTTTCTTAGGTTGGAAACTTAGAAACACTTATAAATTTACCGAGATGCGGTATGTATTCCGTGTACTGTATTTTCGGTAATTACCTCACCTCGTTATTTTCGGTAATTACCGTGGTACGGTATTTTCGGTAATTACCGTGGTACGGTATTTTCGGTAATTACCGTGGTACGGTATTTTCGGTAATTACCGTGATACGGTATTTTCGGTAATTACCGAAAATACCGTATAACCGGTAATACCGTAAATACCGGTAGTAAACAAATACCGGATACCGGTATCAAAATTTTGAATACCGCCAGCCCTAGAATACACTACACATACTCTCGTTTCCGACACACTACTCCACCCCGGGACTCGAATTTTCGAAAAAAACGGCAAATGAAGCAGTCATATTACAGTCGTACTATTTTTTAATATAGTATTTATAATCTGTAGCAGTATCTAACCAAATCGGAATCACGTAAAAACTGTAATATATCAATTAGGTACTACACGTAGGTTAGTTATATTATAATGTATTAATTATTAAAAGAAACATGTAGGTGCGTCGGTAAATGTTAATTATAATAATTTTTTGCCCAATAAATATCGTCAAACGAATAATAATAATATATATAATATAATAATGCAAATTAAAAAAAAAATTAACACTTTCGTTAAAAATGATAAATGTGACGAAAAAAAAAACGCAAAAAAAAGAAATTCGATTTAACACGGCCCCGCCGGCGTTCGAAACCACGACCGTCGAATCACCCGTTTTAACGCCTAACCTACCTAGCCACCTACCGAGATGAAATTAGGAGCCAAATCTATGACTCTTAATGGCGTTTGAGCGGACCACCATGTCCGCCACCTTCGGACGTTCAAGACGCGAGATTTGCGAAAAAAATCGAACCTCGAGGCGCATGGATATATGCCTGTATATAGCGATACCTACACGGTACCTACTCTCGTTTCTGACACACTACTCCACCCCGGGACTCGAATTTTCGAAAAAAACGGCAAATATAGTCGTACTATTTTTTAATATAGTATTTATAATCTATAGCAGTATTTAACCAAATCGGAATCACGTAAAAACTGTAATATATCAAGTAGGTACTACACGTAGGTTAGTTATACGTTATTATAATGTGTTAATAAAAGAAACATGTAGGTGCGTCGGTAAAATCAAGTATTAATTAAATGTTAATTTTAATAATTTTTTTGCCCAATAAATATCGTCAAACGAATAATAATAATAATATATATAATAATATAATGCAAATTTAAAAAAAACATGTAGGTGCGTCGGTAAATGTTAATTATAATAATTTTTTTGCCCAATAAATATCGTCAAACGAATAATAATAATATAATGCAAATTTAAAAAAAAAAATTAACACTTTCGTTAAAAATGATAAATGTGACGAAAAAAAAAAATGCAAAAATAGGAAATTCGATTTAGTATAGCCGCCGCAAATAACCGAAAATCCCGGACGGCGGTTTCGAACCCACGACCCTCGAGTCACCTATCCTAACGCCTAACCAACCTAGCCACCTACTCAGATGAAATTCCGAGGCAAATGTATGACTCTTAAGCCGCGTCGCCGTGCTCGCGGCGATAAAATAAAATTCTTATCACTTTCCTTATCAATAAAAACAATATTTAAGAAAATCCCAATAAATCCTATCAAAAACTCAAAACCCCGAGTTTCCCCTTGGCGAGGTGGGTGTTAGTACTCTCCCGGACCAAAATCCATCAAAAAAGCAAAATCCAAAAAGGGGGGGAGGAGGTGCCCCCGTTCCCTAAAGCGGAAAACGGTAGTATTCATAAAAAGAATGGGTTCCCCCTTGGTCCGAGGTGTTTAACTTGAATTCCGGCCGAGTTATACTCAACTCAAAATGTGGGGGGGGGTGGGGGCTTTGGTTCCCTAATGTTGAAAATTCATCTGGGGCCTAAAAAATTGAGATGCCCATTGGTACGGGGTCTCTAAGTCGAATACCGGCTAAGTTATACTTGGTCAAAAATAATTACTCGTTTAATGGGTCCCCCCACTCCGCCCGACGGTCGCGGGGTAATCGATTTATAAGACGTTATTATCACGTCAAAAAATTGAAAAACACGGGTTTTTTTTTAATAATAATAATAATGTTCGAAAATATTCGTTGATAAGGAAAAGGGAGGAGATAAGCGAGCGGAATTTATAGCGAACGCGCGGGAAGTATTGTGATTGGTCGTCATGGAAGAAACGCGGAGTGCCGTGAGCGCTCCCCGCGGATCTTATACGCGTTATTAGCGTTTTATTATATAAGATTATTAATTGTATATCATTCTTTATTATTTGAATCATGGAAGATTCTAGGTAGATAGTACCTAAGACCTAAGTTATAAACTAGTTACTCATGTTTTTTTTGTATAGTTTACCTACTGTTAAAAATCTAATATTGGAATGCATAGGTACCTAGTTAAAATTGCTAAAAATTAACTGCAAATTAAATTTCAATGAGAAAGGGAAACATAAAAAATGAATTAATGTTATGCCCCCCCCCCAAAAAAAAATAAAATTTAGCCACCACTTCTATGGTATTAAAAAAAATGTGTTGGAAAGGGGTGCCATAAATATTGTGCCCGGGGGCGAAAAATCCCTAAATACGGCCCTGCATATTATTATTATTATCTCGACTAGGCTGGATATACTGCAAGGCGTATCACCAATAAACCATAAAGCGTATAGTAAATTAAAGATTGTAAACATCTTATAAAAACGAATAGTAACTCAAAATAACTAAAACGAGTACCTAACGAATATAAGAAAAGAAAATAATAATTATAGGTGTATAACACAACATAATAATATACAAATAAAACAGCAAAACAGTTTTAATATTTTTTAATTTTTATAATATTTTCATCATACTATTATCACATGCTGCAGGTATTGTCGGCCATTAAAGGTTTACAGGTTGTTTATCTCTTGTCAGTAAAAACTATTACTTCCCAGGCAGCATTTTGTAAAAATAATATTACGTATAATAACTATAACTTTATACAAATATTATTCGTTAATATAATGTTATAATGATATTTTTAAACAAAAAATTTCCGTCTGGGATTTGACATAATATGTGTATACTGTAGGTTTAGGTACAAATGTACAATATCGAAGACTAATTAATTTTTAAATAAGACGATAACAACAGTGACTTAATAGCTTTTCTCGTTAAAATAAGTAGCTTAATCTAATATTGGTCATTATAGTTTAGATATTCTTTAATAAAAAAAACACTTACCGCTATGAACCATGTGCTGAGTATCATTTGAGATTTTTCATAATTCTATAAGACATTAAATATGCGTGATTACTAATTGAAGGATTAAGCACTTAATTTGAAACAGAAAAAAAAATATAATATTTACCAACTCTGCACTTTTTACCAACATTTTCATGCTCACTTCTAAAGAGTTTGTATCCTGGGGGGCGTAAGGTTTCACTATCTTGTCATAGTTCATAAAAATATGTTTTCTCAAGATATGTTCTACTGTTGAATTGTGATTATATAACTCGACTTGAAATAACAAATATAATTATTTTAATATAATAATAATAATATTCCAATTTACAATAATATAATAATGATTAATTACAGTAGGTACATGTGTATCGAGTTATAATACAAAATCATACAAATAATAAGGAAAAAAATAAGAATATGATCACAAAGAGAAAAAATAGTTTTGTTTATAAGTTTGGAAAACATTTTAGGAAGTATAGAAATCTTAAGGCGCGTTTACACGGTTCACTCTTGGTGATCATTTTGGATGAATCATCCACAGTGAATAAATAAGAACAATGTAAAATGATCATCCTCATTGAACGATGAACAAAGTTGGGTCATGTCCAACTTTCCTTCACTCTGGATGATTACATTGTTCTTATTCATTCACTGTGGATGATTCATCCAAAATGATCACCAAGAGTGAACCGTGTAAAGTGTAAACGCGCCTTTAGATATCGGTTGATAATTGGTGACTTGAGATTTATCTCCTTTTTTCAAAAATAGGTGAGATGAAAGAAAACTTCCACATATATCTAATAATGTATTTACAACTGATTTACATCAGCAATCAAATAAAAACTACCGTTGATGAGAATAATATTAATAATTATTATTTTACATAGATACATTTCTTTGTTTAAATAATATATTATAATAATAATTATAAAATATGTATCACATGCAAAATAGGCTTATTAAATTATCTACTTTTTCATATTTAGTCACTTAAAATTAAATTTTTTCTATTACAATTTTTTGAACGATATAACGTTGTTTGTCTGTAGTAGTGGGTAGGTACATAGTACATAATAATAATTATTAAACATAAATAATTTATTATTTAGGTACTTGCTTGAAGTAAAGAGATTATATACAATTTAAACTGATAAAAATTTAAATAAATTCTTATCTTATCTTATCTTATTTCTGTAATAACAAATAGTAAAAATGAATAACTATTTTAATTAATTCGACAATTTGTTTTTAAATTCCTAATAAATCTATAAATAATAATATTGAACTATTGCATCAGCAAAACATGTAGTATTAATTTACACAGGATCCCTTAGTCACTGTTTTTAATTTCCATATTGAAATTGTTATACCTAATAGAGTAGTCGGGCCTGCTGAACACGATAGAAAAATCCGCTGATTCGTAGACCTATTTGTTGGGTGTCTCAAAAATTAACTAACTAGCGCCTCAGCCACCAACACCAAATAATTTGAAATAATTAAATAATATTATAAAAAAAAATCGGCTGGTAAAAATTCAGATTCTAACATGTAAAAGAATTTAAACATTAATTAAAATTGTATACAAAATTATAAAATTGGAAAATTGTTTATAAATTGTTTAGTATATATAACGTGTAATTGTTTTTTACATGTTAGAATCTGTGTTTTCATCAGACTATTTTTGATAACATTGCTTAATTATTTCAAATCATTTGGTGTTGGTGAATGAGGCGCTAAAGTCAGTTGATTTTTGAACACCCCTCCCCTCACCTCCACCCCAACCGGTTTACGAATAAATCGATTTTTATATCATAATAAGCAGGCTCGATTCTATTAGCTATACAAATTTCAAGGGAGCTAAAATGGGTGAGGTAAAACTGTCAGTACCTCCTTGTTTAATAGAATTTATACTTTTAAGTTTAAACTGTATAAAAGAGAAAATTATAAATAAAATTATAATTTTTATAGAAGTATAGAAAATTAGAAAGTATTGTCTATTATTGATGTTTACATTAGGTTAACCTTTTATACTTTTATTAACATAACTATATAATATAATAATATATTAATATACAGTCCACATAATAATACAATATTTAATAGAGTAAATTATTTAAACGGTCAACAATTATTTTTTATAATATTTCTATTGGCTACGTTACGTTTTAACAATTGAGCCGAATGGTAAAATAATGTGTTCATAATTTTGCTTCACTGTTTTGTTGCTAAATAGCCAAATAGGTACTATCTATTTAGGACCACAAGGATCGTAAAAATATATAATTTGCTGAATTATCTTTTGATTTTAATTATGGACATTGCATTATACCTGTGCTAAAAATAGCCCACAAGTGTGTAGTTTGTGTAGCAATAATAATTATGAATAGCCTAATGCCCCAATAGTAGTCACCGTCTTCAGTTTCCATGCAATCTATAACTTCAAGTTACTAACAGAATTGATTTACATTTATAACATATTTTATACTTTTAAGTTTTAATAAACTACCTATATGAAATCGAAAATTATAATTTTTTTAGAAGTATTGAAAATTAGAAACTATTTTCAATTTATTTGTATTTACTAGATAATATAACTTTGTATACAATCCACACAATAATGCAAATTAATAGAGTAAATTATTTAAATAGTCAACAATTATTTTTCATAATATTTTTATTGGTTTTGGTTTAACAATATTGCGCTGAACGCTAAAATAATGTGATCAAAGTTTTTGTATACTGTTTTGTAGCTATATAGGTATACTCGTGTATCGTATACTGTCTAATTAGGAACACAAGAATCTTAAAAAATACATATTTTTTTTATTCTAATCGTATATAATACGGAGTATGGACATCGCCTTACCTGTTCCAAAGAACGCCCACAGGTGTGTAGCTTGTGTAGCTATAATAATTATGACTAATCCAATATGACGAGTGCACAACATTGTTGAGAGAATTCAAAAACCACGAGCAACAACGATCTACCGAAAAAAAAAACTTTACCGGTTGTGTGAACGTATTGTGCGTGCGCGCGGAATACTGGACAATTTAGTTACGAACGTCCGTGATTATAATATTCTGTCCACTTGAGTACAGGATACGAAATATTATTCAATTAAATGTGATCAGAGTAACTCAGAATATTGTCCTTGGGATCATGTTTTTTATTTATATTTCGCCATTGACAGCATTGTCGTCATTGTCTTCAAATCAAACGCAATCCCAACTCGATACACATACTTGTAGATACAATACAGCTGGATAATTTTGGAAGTTTCTACGGTATTAAAAATTTAAACGCATCATAAAGGGTTTTAAATTTGAATTGCCTTCCACTGTGATATATAATGGACGGACAAATAATTAAAAATAATAGGGGTGGATGTATTAGAAATTAATATATTATTTTAAACGACAGTTGTGAATTCGAACAAAAACAGTGTTGCATTCAATACTATACTTTGTCGAATCCGTCAAAAGCTTAAGTAAAATTGAAATAAAATAACCGGATAAAATCCATTTGATTTGTTGAATGGATTTTATTGACATTAAGATCATTTTCTTAAAATAATTGATACTAGTGTCATCTGTGTTCGTGTATCTATACTATCTGTCATATCATTATTATGACGAGGAATTTAAAAGTATAAGCGTTTATTAAGGAAAAAAAAATTGAAATTAATAAGACTACTGAAAGATAGTGGAATGACATATTTTTTAATTTAATGTGTTAGAACGAATTTACTATTGTATGGTGGCTGTAAAATGTTGCACATTAATCTGATACTCGTGCCTTTACCAGTTATAACTTGTACTTCTCATTAAACAGAGGCTGTTATTTTTTGTTGACTGTTGTTGTTTAATTTATTAGATACTCAGTAATTCCTTTAGTGATGTTATTTCAATTGTACACATGACATATTTGGAGTAGAATTTTATTTTGACATTAATTAGTTTATTATTATTTACAAGATATCATAATAACAGCCATACGTTGTTTGTGACATAAGCTTTCTAGTCTGTGTGGCCTCATATGGCTGTTGTATTTTATACAATATACACAAATAATAGCACACCGACTATGCATTTATTATTTAAATTATTTTAGAAACATTTTTATATGAATAATATCAAATATAAGAATATATAATATTAAATTCTATTCTTTTTTTATGTCATTGGTAAGGTTTTTTACACACGTGTTTTAAGATAACAATAAGTTTAATATCTTTACTTAGAAAGTTCAAAATACATGTAGGTATTTGATGTTTCTTGGTTAAACCACTTTGTTTGAATAAATACAATAATACATGTTGTATTAGATCAGTGTTTCCCAACTTTTTTTATTTTACACCCCTTGTAGACTTTCAAAAATCTCACGCCTTCCCCAACAATTTAAATTTTTAAAAAAAGTTGACGTTTTTGTTGTTGTTATTATCAGTAATATAAGATGAATTACAAAATATGTACTTATATGATTTAAATTAATAGGTATAACTTATTGTTATTGTTGAGATCGTAAATTTTCACATTTTATATTTTATTCGTACAATAAAAAATGTATATTACAATTATTTTGATCAGGGTGTCGATTATCATTTTTCAACTAATGTGGGCCTTGTGTTTTATTTAAACACTGATTTGTGATTGCCGATTGGCATTGGCATATTTAGTTGATAATATATGAACGTTTTGTTAATATATAAAAAGTAAAATCATAATGAAAATAGACGTATAATATTTAAACGATTTATGGAATTAAGAGGCGTTACAAAAACAATATTAATTTCTGTGATTAAACAAAAGTATTCATGTTAAAATCATTTGTAATGCCTACAGGTTATAATAGCCATATAAAATCAACTTTATTATTTATCGTTTTTTATTACTATTTTAGAATGAAGGGGTAGTGTAATTTCATTGCAAGGTAATGTTGATTGTGGTTTTACTAATTTACTGGACAATTATATAAATTATGTTTATTATTGATTATACTGAATGCAAATATTATCTATTTTTAGACAAAACATATTTTATAAAGGTACTTTTAACTTTCAAGCATAGCTTAAAATATGCAAATGAGGTTTCGAGAGTACATTTTTTATATAAATCCGGAGTTATAAAATTCAAGTTACTAAATACTGTGATGTAATTGGTGTTTGGAAAACGACATCTCACATAGTCACAGGATGATAGAAATTAGAATGTCAGATGGTCTTAAAGTTGGGACTTGAGGAAGGGATCATTGTAGGTGAAGGGACCTATGTATTATTTACTGGATGTCTAGCTGATATTGATTAAATATAGTAATGTTAGTTTACTGAGGTTATACACTTATGCTTCAACGATGTTTGTTAATATTAAATATAGATATTAATTAAAAGCTTATAGGCTATGATATACATTCAGTGCACACCAGTATGGCAGTACCTACCTATACAAACTATTTGAATCATTATTAACTGCAGAGCTTTCAATTGTTATAATAACGTTATATCTATCTACATTAGTACAGTACAAATAAAAACTGATATTTATGTTTTTAAACGTAATTAAAACAGAAAACGATGAACGTAATACAAAGTAATGAATGCCGATTTATATATTTTTGTATCATAAAAATTAAATGTATATTTTCCATTTATATTGGTTTGTGAAATTATTTTTTTTTTTTTATTATTATTATCTTAGTGAAAATGTACGTAAGCTCTATATTCAGTACTCCGATAACTACTAGATAATTAAATATCATATTGTTATGTTTTTGATATTATTAGTATCTTATTAGTAATAAATATATCAACTTAACATTACGCCCCTGACCCTCATGACCCGACATCAAATAACGTCTATTGCGCAGTAGATACTTTTGTTGAGAACGTTATATTTCTGAGAAGAATCCGTTTTACTCTGTAATTTTAAATTTTAGAGTGAATATTGACCTATTATCAAATTTAAAGGTACAAATATTATCTAAGACACCTCCAAAAAAAATTTTTGATATTTTAATTTGGAAGCATAGTAAGAGATAAAATATAGTTTTAAAACGTCCACAACTTGGCTTAATATTAAATTAGGTATTAAAAAAACAACCTTTCGAAGTTTCCTAAATATCACTTTTTCGTTAAATTTTATAAAAATTTGTATGTAAGAAATTCAAAACGTTTTAAATCTAGAAAGAAGCCGTCTGTATGTAATGTGTGCAAGCGCTCGGGGATGAAGTGAAACTTATTTCGTAGTTTTTAGTGATATCTAGATTTTCTGAAAATGAACAATCTCGCAGCAATAGGACAAGTCTTGCATTAACTGATAGGATTTTAGGTACAAGTTCGTGAAACAAAAAATAGTTTATTTATTTGAATATTTTTATTTATTCTATTTATTTTATTTACTTTAATTTCATTATAGATTCATTTTGGATATTTTTTTTTTTTTTTCAAATTTTCAAGTTAAAATCAAACTACCTGGTTTGATGTTGTACCAGTAAGTATATTAAAAATATAATAAAATAATATAGTATTATAACTTGCAATCGTTTCGATATTTGTAATTATTATTATATACATGATTATTAGACAATATCATGAATTTAGTTAACTTATATTATATAATATATTAAAACGACGCTCCGTCTCACTATTCCACAATAATTATTCAATATCTAAATAGGTAAAAATAATAATAATAATAATGGAATTTATATGATTTATATTTTATTTATTTTTTCTTGTCATGGAAATTTCGTGTCGTGAGCATAATTTTGTTGCACATTTTTTGGAGTTGTTCCCTCCGTACACAAATTTCACTTCAAAACGATAAACGCAAACTTTATACAACGTTTTAATTCTAAATAAAGATAAACACAAACGTTTTAGGTACAACCTTTTAATGCTAAATAACGAAAAAACAAATTTTTTTTCAAAGACAAGCCCTGTGGTGCTCAAGACATTGATCGTGATTTGATTTAAAAATATAATTATAATTTGTCTAAAAATAAAAATGAATTTTTAGATAATATATCTGGGGATGTATTACAATTTACAAGACTATACTGCTAAAACGACTGGAGTATATATGTGCAAGCACATAAATACGAGGCCAAATTTTAATAATTGAATATTATTGTACATTAATTAATCCAAATTATATGATATTGTAAATGATAAATAACTTAAAAATATCATATTATTTTCATCAACTAAAACACAAAGCGTGATAGAAGAATAACATAAACAATTGAAAATATAATAAAACATATTTTATCGATTATTTTAGCGAACGTCTGTCTTTTGTTATACTCTATATATTGTAAATCTATTTCTTTGTCTTCGTTTAGAGTTTGGTTGCTCGACGATGGTCCCTGTGAACATTAAACAAAATTTATTTGTATGAAAATGTATTTTAATTTGATCAGTCATAATCAGGGCTCGGGACTTAAAGCATTTGCTTATTTTTTTAGATTGACTTAAAATGTAGCAGAGTACTATAGAAGTGTATGTCATGTTACAACACATTCAATTATGAAATTTGAGAGTGCTTTTTTTTGCTTTTTTTCAGTGATTTTTCAAAAAAATGCTTATTTCAAGTTTTTATGATAATTATTGCTTTTTTGACCAGTTTTCATACTTTTTTATGGTTTTCTACTGCAAAGTTGTTTTTGATAGAATTAAAATTAAAAATAATTTAAATAAAAAAATTTATTAAAATTTATTAAAAATTTTTTTTTTTCAACTATTTGTAAATATTGTTTACATTTTATTTTTGAGAAAATCCCTTAGAAAATCCATAAAATCTTCAGTCCTGAAAATGAAGTTTAATTTTTTTTATAATATAAAGATAAATTTTTATTTTTATTTTATTGGTTTTTTTTTTTTAATAAATATTTTTGCTTAAATTTAAGTTTTTTAAATGCTTATTTGAGTGCTTATAATGATGTTTTTAAGTGCTTATTTAAGCGCTTATTTTAATGATTTTAAGTGCTTTAAGTCCCGAGCCCTGGTCATAATCATGTAGGTACACTGTACACATGTCGCATATTATATAAATGTATATAGTTTAACATTAACATTATTATGGTCTATAATATTATATGCTTGTAGTAATTATATTAGCAGGTCTTACGTCCACTCCCATTGCTAGGAATTCTATGAATTTGGATTGAACGATGTTTGAAATTGGTTTTGAAAGTGGTTTCCGTGTTATTGTCATATTTTTTATCACCACTGATATTACAGCCGTCAAAACTATCAGTACCAGGCTGTACGTGTAGTATATAGCTATATAACCGTTAAGAACAATGAGACAAGTTTTTACTATTATATACCAATCTTAATTTCATTTTTAGACCAATAATTACAATCATAATATGTCGTTTACGTGAGAATATTATCATTTATCACCGAAACGTTAGCAAAATTATACGACGTTGACATTATACGAACCAATTAATGGAACTGTGGATAGTATCAGAGGTATTTTCGAGTACAGCACCTGTAGAATGACGACAACAATCAATGCGTCGAATAGGCTTATTGTAAGTTTGTATCTGCAGTCATCTAGCGAAAGCCCAAACACCAGTAAATTCAACAGTGCTGTACCTGTGGGTGTGCGAGAAAAAAAAATGTATAATAGTAACGTAGGTACATCCTAAACAATGAGTACGCAGGTAGGTTTCTGACTTCCTGTTTATGCACTATATATTGTATCTAATATAATATTCCCATTCGAGGTGACGAGAATATTATAGGCGATGGACATGCACGTCCATGTACCGAATAGGACAATATCTAATATATTTCCAGGTTTTGCCAATCATTTACTCATTCGGTAACAACCCCAAATTATTATTATAATATTGTCAAGGCGCAGAGGTTGAAATCGATGGTTTTTATCAGAAAAAAAATACACTTGCATAAGGCCGGTACGAAAACCACCGGATTATATTGGTTGGACTTGCGATTGATGGTGATGTTGTACTCGACGCTGACGTATGGTTCGTTCGGACAACACGAATAGAATTTCGTTATTTTATCGCTGGAAATTCGTAATATCTGCCATTCCGTGTGAGGGGTGGGGGAGATCTGAAATTAAAAAAAAAAAAACTAACAATAAATCAGAATTTCCGATTTGCTTTTGTACAAAAACTTTTTGCGAAAGACCTCGTGCGACCCGTCCGTGATGTTTATCGCGTTCGTGCTGTACACCCACGACCCGACTATCAACAGTCCGGTCTGCGAGTCGTACGGCCAATGGGTCATGTCGGCTTGGCAGTATATCCTGTACTGCACGGGTTGCACCCACAAGACGTCTCCGCTGTTGTACACGATGCTATGTGTGTTTCCGTGCACTACGGTGTTGGCCTCAATGCTGGAACGATAATATTATTATTATGATAATATGTGACCGAAAGTGCGTGGCGCAGGTTTTATTCCGCCACCGTGTAGATATGAGTATTGCGCGGGTTATTGTCGGGTATATAACATTATAGTCTTACGATATTTTATGGAATCTATGCATATTTTTGTACAATATGTATAATGTACCTATGTAATATTATGTATGAGTATATAACAACCATTTAAATTAGTTGGCATGATGAATGTTTTTTTTTTTTTAAATGGGCACTCATGTTTAAGGTAGTAAAACGTTTTCCAGTGTATACAATACGTATAATTGTGTGCGTAAATTATTTTGCTTTTCCATGTCGTTTATAGTTTTATTACATTTTTATAACTCACTGGTGTTTGTATAAAATGTTTTAAAATGAAAAAGGTTATTTAAATTTTAAATATTGAATTTGTAAAATATAATTTTTTCACAGGAATTCGTGATTCTATTATTCTTTAGAAATGATAACCGGATATTTGCATAATTTCGTATGCAAAGTAAATTTATGTGTGACGTAAGACATATAGTTCACTATGTGTAATGTCCAAATATCCAATAAACGGCTCGAATTTTTAGTGTTTTAAAATTCGAGCAATTTATTGGACATTTGGACATACTTGTTGTAGGCCATGATGTCTGGATGCCAAATTTCGCTGTATTCAACAACTATGGAATTGATTTGATTGTAATCGTTCGGGTCCCATGTCAGTCTATCGTCAATCCACGCCTGCAGAACAGAGTGCATTACTTACACCGATTATACATCCTAGTTTCGGGATGATAAAAACATAATAATATGATTTATATTTTATACCGATTAGCTTCATAATACGTTTAACATTATTAAATAATACCTATATCCCGCAAGAAAGGTGTTATGGTATAGGTACCCATACTTACCACTTTTAGGCTGGCGTAAATTATCATATGAGACGTTTCGTAACTCTGTGAAATTTCAACAGAAATCAAGATTGTATTAGTTAGTTGAAGTTATGAGAGAGTATAACTGTATAGTGTATAATATATGGACTATAGCATGAACTTAACCATTTCCACGCTGTTAAATACAGCGTTAACATTCATATGAACGGGTTTTTTGCTTGTTGCGGGCACCAGTATTTTGTCGTAATTCTTCAACAGTTGTTTTCTCAGCTCATGTCCAGCCGTGATGTTTTCGTCTGGTAGTTTTGAATTACCTATTGATCAAATTTTATTAGAGCATCGACTATTCAAATATTGTATTATATATTATAATTACGGTGCTTACGTATAACGTCCACAAAAAGTTTTAAAACATTATTTTAATTTTTAACTTGTGATGTAAATAATAACCGTAATATTGCATTGCCTCTCGTACAAAATATATAGTTCAAGTTAAGAATAAGTTAGTGATTGTTAATAATCTAATTTTCGGTTCATAGTTTGTTCCAGGCTATAACTTCTAACCTTCTTGTATTGAATGCGATACCGTATTTTGGGGATACTTTGTACCAAATTTCTCGTTTTCTCAACTTAAAACATAGACTGTCACTTTAATAATTATGATAGAATTTTACTTGTTTCACGGTCCTCTAGTTACATTTGCTAAGAATGATTGTGTGTACTTAACTAAAACTTGATCAACTTAAAAATTTTTTTTTTTTATTTAATAATTAAATAATATGATATTATTTAAATAATAGGATTTTTTAATATCAAAAAGACAAAAACTCACCTAATTTTAGTTGTAAGCAAAACTGGTGCAATGTTAGATACACAATTCCTAATCTATATTGTGTAAAAGACCAAAATGAACATAATTAAGAAAAAAAGGCTTAAGGCATCATTTAAATAACGAAACATTCATATTTTCATAACATTTTTTTTATTAATTAACATAAATGTATTCTTTCAACTTTATAAAATGTGAAAAATAAAAACTTAAAATATTAAACTTGTAATCTATAAAGGAACATAAGTAGGTAGTTTATATCACTTTTTTTTTTTATAAAACTTAACAATAAATTTGATTTAATATACAGGTAGGTACTAATATATTATATAATAATAATTTTGATTTTTTTTTATCTAAGTTTTTATAGCTATGAAAAAAAGTTAAATTGAACTTAATATCATACATATTTTTAATGCTTATAATATTTCTGATAGAATAAAAAAAAAGTTACCTGCGATATTGAAATTTAAGTTGACGAACACGCACAATTTTCAAAAGCATTATTTTTGTGTATTTGTGATAAGCTGTTATAAATAGCACACGTTTTGGAGGGAAATCGAAATACTGAAGTTACAATAATTTCAAAAGACATTTTACAGTATCAGGAATAAAATGATAACATTTATATTTTTCTATCATGAATTGTAAACTATATATTTTGTAAAATTACATTTTTTTTTTGACGCAATGTTACCATGTATGGTGCAAAGTATCCCCAAAATTCAAGGTACAATTTCACAAAATAATTACTTATTTAATATTTTTCCGTCTTCTAATGTTAAACAGCCTGAAATTTGGCAAATGTGTCAATTTTTATTATTTTATTTCAAAAGACGATAATAATGAAAACTCCTGATGATAATCTATTGTTGTAATGGATTATTATTGTTCCGATTTTTTCGGACAAATTAAAAAAAAGAAATTTTAAACAAAAATAATTCCTATAAATAATATTATTATTATTTGACAACACGTTCCCGACGGCGGATAGAGCATAATATACAACTCCGGAAAATCACAGTAGGCCGTGCTTGGACGACCAGCGTTGAATGTTTTCCCAGATAAAAAGCGTCCGTCTGAAAGTATTTTAATAACCTTCGGCGGGTTTACTCTGTCCAGCTAGAAAAAAACGCCAATTCTGCACATGACCTGCACGTGACACCCTGCCATTGAGATAGGTTCCACTGCAGGGTGTGTCGCATGGGGATGGAACCGATTTTCTTCGGTTACATAATATTCTCTAGCCGTACAGAGTATACCTAATACTTGGTCATGGGTATGAATATTATGGCAGGTTTTCGACCTCAGCCAAAGGACCGCGGACAGAGCTGAGGCCAACGTACCTGCAGCCGAACATACCGATAATCACATCACGCCACTCGGGTACATTTAACTCATCAGTCGCGTGTTGTATTTTCCTAGTTTTCCGTTCGTTTACATAATATAATACAGTGCAATAAATTAAAATTATTTATATTTTTTGTTGATTTACTTGCGTTGCCGGCCGCACAGTACGTGGTTAAAATTATCAGGAACAATCCTGACAGTGGACCGTCCATCGTGTCCGGTGGCGATATCGACACTGGAAACCGCCAAGGAAAATAATATTCGCGGACCGTAGTCGAATGCAAAATGATTTCGAAATGCGGTAAAGCGTTCAGATTTATTTCTATAGATGTTTTGAACATAAATATAAATTATTAAATTCGAACACAGGATATTCATATCATCACCTATTGTACCTATATAAATATAATATGAATTTCAATTAAACCCAATCATCGTAAAAGTTCGTGTACGCACTTGTCGATTTTATTAGACATACAGACACGCGTATCATTGGGCCTGATTAATATAATTTGGTGCGTCTGTTATTCACAATATAATATATTTTGTGCCAGCTGAGCATAACAATATGATAATGTACGTATAGGTATGCAGTGGCGTCATTTCATTTTTCAATAGAGGGGGGCAAAGGTTTTGACCAGCCCTAAAGGCTAAAAAAAACCACTCTCTTATATATTTACATTTTTTTATGGTACTCTTTTTATTAACTAGGTAACATAATTCTTAAATATAAGGTAGCAGATATCTTAGAAAAATAATTGTATACCTATATCAGTTAAAAGTCTACAAACTATTGGCACTATTTATATTGATAAACAAAAATATTAGTAGTTTATTAGGATATCTTCTTTTTTTTATTTTTGAAAATATATCAACTGCCTTATCTATAAATCAATTTTACTTGATTCATCACTTATAGTCCATACTCTATTACTCTTATATAAGTATGCGATATATTTACAAATTAATATTATCTTAAATTATAATATATTTTTTTTTTATTTCTTGCTTATCGGCTCAAGTTTTGTCTGTTTATGAAACATACCTACCAGAAATTATTTTCGATTCTTGAGCAGTTTGCGGTAATTTTGGAATCGTAATTATGGTATAAAAATACATTATATAGTGGTTAGGCACGAGTCTTTAGGTCGTGGGTTTTGAAAAAAAAATCAATGATGGATAATATGACAATATTATTGACACTCATGTATTTAGACAGTATCACACCAGAAATAAACAAACCGTAAATCAAAAACCAACCACGGTAACAAGTTTGCAGAGGTTCTGGGTCAATGGCACGACAACGTGGTTGACGACTGAATTAATAAAGAAATTGTCGAAATTAAACAGGAATATAAACGTCGAGACACGAGGTTTCGTAGTGATAATCCCTATCCGTCTTCCATTAATTCCCCCTGCACACCGAACCAGGCCGAATGAGACAAATTCGACATCGTCTCTTATTTATTTTTATCCATTAATCACATTTCACGGATACAACTAAACAATTTTGAGTACTATATGTACTAACCTTGAAAGATAATTATTATCATTTATCACTTATACAATGTTCTTCAATTAAGCATTAATTAATTTATAAAAAATTATATCTATTTATATAATATAAATGTCAGTAAAAAAAGAGTACCTACCATCTACACAATATTGGTACATTATTGAAAAAAATATAAATTTTATAAAATGACCGGAACTCATTACAGAGACACTCATTACAATGTGTGTGTGTGTGTATTTTTTGTATCTTCATTGGTCGTATTAACTTTTCGATCGGGAAATATATGTTTCAATCTTCAACTGTGAAGCTGGTTTCCGGTAGCAAATTGGATTTAGTTGGTACTTTGGGGGTTCAAAAACCAGGAATATTTACGAAATAGATACCAGTTTTCATCAAAATCGATTTAGTTATATTTTTAAGTCAAAATGCTTGAAAATTTAATACAAGGTTTATTTTGAAATCTTAAATCAGAAATTAAAAAACATATCGAAAAAACATACATATATAAGGACAGTTTTATTATAAGTTCGATAAAGATATTTACGTTTGGTATTTAATAAGTTGCGAATCATTTATATTTACACAATATCATACGTAGGTATTATAAGTACCTACCTATTTATACTTGAAAGTTGAAATGATTGCAATTATTTTACATCTCTGATTATAACCAGATCTTAAGTGGTAGGTAAACATTAATTAAATATAATATATACATTGTTTTCAGGGATTCAGTGTTTTAGAAGTTTAAAAGTTTATTGTATAATCAATATTCGTGGAACATACTGTATATCTACATTTTGTAACTAATAAGTAGTCAAATAACTGATAAGTAGTCATTACATATTATTAATATATTATGGATCAATTTGTTATCATTAATTATCAATTATGTGATGTTTTTTACTAAACATTTTTTATTAAGTACTACACGAGTACTTCTTTTAAAATACAATAAGGATGCAATCTGTAGTACATGCAACCAAACGTATCTTAACTATGAACATTGATTTATTGTTTGAATCACAATTTGCCATATTATCTATGTATGCAAAGTATTATAAATATTTTTTAACTTTATTGTATAGATTTTAATTTGTGACTTATAATATACGGTATAAAATGTTCTTGTTTCTTTTATTTTGTGTTACTCCTTAGTTTATTGTCAGGTATACCTACTTAATTCAATGTTTTATTTTATTCAAGGTTAGGTTAAGTCTGAATAATATTATTTTTAAGACAATTATAAAATAAATCTATACCTGCAAACGGTTATTAAAATTGTGTTATAATAATAAATAGTAATTTTCATAATATTTTATATTTGTTTAGCAAGTACTATCAGAATAACTCGAAAGTATTAACTGTTAATAATATTTGTTTATTATAGTCAATATACTATATAGCATTAATAAGCATTATAGCCATACCTACTAATTATCTGATATATTCACAATCATTCAAAGTTCATAGGGAGATTACTCGTTTAGTGACCCTGAATAATGTCGGAAGAAATGTCGAGGAATATAATCAAGTTTAATTTTATACCTATATGGTATTTATTTATTTATTTTTATTTTTATTTATTCTTCAAGAAGATAATTGGCCCCACTGAACATGTTCGTGTGGGGGACCATACATATATTATTCAGACTTTTATTGAATACCAAAAATATTAAATCAATTCTTCTTAAACTGGGTTACTTTTAATGTATGTGGCGTATATAATAAATAATTAAATAACGTTAGTTAGGGGGGGGATCAGTGGAAAAAACCTAACCTATATAATGGATAAAAATATAGGTGTTTTATTAATAGACATTTATCATTGTGCAAAAAATAAAAAGTTCATTAGTGTATGAAAAAATAACCTTTAGTGAATCTCAAGTCCCCCTTATTCAAAGTGATGTAGGTAGTTAAATAAATTACATATGGATCGTAATAAAACCACACATGATATTGAGGTAGGTACCAAAAATGTTATATTTTAATTAACTGTAAAAGTTGCTCTACCTAATTATTTAATAATATATTTTCTGATGATAAAGTTATTTTGTTTAGTAGTAAAACAACTCGTTATATTTTGTATAATATATGTATAGTAAGTACCTATACCGTATACCTAGGGATCCATTTAACACTTGAAAGAGAGTCACTAATTATTTAACAATATTCTCACTGTTATTCAAATAGTTTTTTTTTTATATTTTATATTGTTATCATTTAATAATTTTTTTACATTTTTTACCTAATGACATACTGCATACAATTTGTATTCCTTATTTGAAAGCAGAATATTTTTTTGAATACTTTGATGTAAAAATGTCGAACCTAACCTATAAGTTTATGTGTATTTAATAAGTTATTATAACTTATGAGTTAAGTGGAGTGGAGTGGAATGGTACCACTGTACTCCACCAAATATTCACTACTTCGCTCATCAAAACTTTTTTTTTTATTGAACAAAATTTTATTTATAATCTGTAATTACAATATATATTACAATAAGTAAATGGGATGGGGATGATTAGCGGGAGGGGGGAAGTCACCCATTGGTAACACCCCATGGAAATCAATTTAAGGAAAGAGTAGGTCCCTACACCAGTTCCGTTTCAGGTGCCTGGGTGGATTACCTAAATACTTATTACTTAAAACTTTATAAGTTACCTTTAATTAATAAATTGTCAGAAATTTGATTTTTATAGATATAAATATTCTGAATAATATTTCGTTTCGGAATACGAAATAAAAATGTATACTGTCATTAAAAAGAACAGATAACAGTAAAAATGATACCTAACGATAAAAAATAGAATTTTTTTCCAAAAAATTTGTTTTGTAACTATTTAAAATATGTTTAACTATTTTAACAGTTTTTTGAAATAATCAGTTTCTTACTTTAAATGGATTACCTCGTATTATAAACAGCCTGTACTCTGCTGTTCTGTAAAAATTATATTTGTATATTGCCGCTATTACACTATACAATTAAATACCTAATAACTACATATTTTTTTTGAACAAGAATACGAATAGGTAACAATATTTTTACATTTTTAAGCCTTTTCTTAAAAAAATATACAAAAAATAGTTTTTATTTCATAAAATGATTTTGTTATTAAAAATAACGGTTGATCACACCACTATAATAATATAAATCCCTCCTCTTTGTATACTGATTACAGGTAATAAATATATCATACATTATATTATATTAATAATAAAAAAAAATGTAACTTTTAATAATTAATTATTGGACTTTATTACACTTCATTAATAGGTTGATTGTGAATATTAAATTAAATTTAAAAACATTGCGTAATATTGTATTAGGTATATTGCAGTCGTACTGATAATTTAATACCTTATCGTGCCTGCATGTCGAATATATTTTATTTGAACTTGCTGATCCGAGCGGCGAAATATACACCGTGAAACATATTTGGCAGAAACGTACACACGATTGGCGACGATGAGCAATTAACTAACAACTGTGGTTGTATATAGTCACATAAACGTACATTATTTGTAAATCTATACTACACAGGTGGGTATAGTCTTTGAAAATATTAAATCTACCGTTTTATATGGTATTGGTACGTCATTATAATAAACGTATAATGTCTTATAACACTTTCGAACATGCTACGGATAGGTGTATATTATATTATAATTTGAATATAAAAAATAATTAATGTAAAACCCGGGTATTCGTTGTAAAAAATATGCAAGCGCCTGTTGCATGTTTTCTAACAAGTAGAAATCTTACAACGGCGGTTTTTTAAAAAAACCGTCAAACTCATCACAGAACGTATAGGTCACGTGCAGTGGTTACCTGATCATAGGTATTCAGAATATCCAATACTGATATCAAATTTGTAATTATTGTATTTATAATTATAGACGTATTTTGTTTTCAACGTAACTTATTTAACAATCGCTACAAATTATTGACAATCTAATGTTAAATTAAAGCTACCATCACAAGTATTATTATGCGTTAGGTCAACTAACACGATGATTAAACATAATACATTAATGTTTATTGATAAATATATCGTTTAGGTACACAAGGTTTAGGTTCAAAATATCTATAGTGCTTATAGGGTTTTATTTTATTATAATTATATTTTTTTTTCTAGCCATTTTGACCACCGCATTAATTTATTATTTCAATAAGTAATAACTAATCGTTATAGTAGCTGTTATCTGTTGAGGGGGGAAAAAAGATTTATTTTAAACAAAACACCATGTTATCAAGCGGTCGCTTAATCTCACAACTATTAAAATAAAAATAAAAAATTATCAGCACTCAGTTGTGTCAAAACCGTTTTTTAAACAACACATAGTATTCTGACTACACTGAGAGGATTAACAACTATGTATACCAATGTGATTACCTACCTATAATTTCATTACTACTTTCTCATTTTGAATTAGTTAACAATATAATACAGATATAGGTCTATATATTATACGCCACCTAATATTCATATTTTTTGATTTAAGTTACTATAATTGTATTCAAAACTTCTCCAAATAATAATTATGTTTAACAGTTTTTTAAAAAAAGTTTTGTGTTTGATTATCATCATCAAATTTGCGAATATAGAAAGTGCAAAAACAGGTACGTGTTCGAAAAAACAAAGGAATTTGTTTTAACGTTATTTTTTAAAAAAATGTTCTTACTTTAAGATCGATTCTATATGTATATGTTTTATTATATTTGTATGTATAGTATTAAAATAAAAATATATTAAATTTTATTAGTGTTAAAACTAGTATGTTCAAATATTTCAATTTTAGCTCAAGTGATATTTAATTGATAACACAAAGGAAGTTGAAAAAAAATGTATGATTAGGTACTATATTACTATTATAATAACTGTACATACTGTACATATTGTCAAATAGCTATGCCATGGTGTCAAAAAAAAATAATAAAAAAAAAATAGAATGATTATTTAACCGGAAGTATTGTATATATATTTATGTGTGTGTGTGTGTGTGTTGGTTTTTATTAAAATACTATTTGATATTTGAAAATCATTTTGTTTAGAACAAAAAAGTGATTTTTAAAATTAAAATTACAATATATTATGTTCATATTTTCGTAACTTAAATGTTCTCTAAAAGTTATATCTATATATATATATAAATTAATGTTTGTGTGTGTTCTTTATGCATTCCAAAACGGCTGGACTGATTGTGATGGAATTTGGTATAGAGATAGAGTAGACCTCTGAGAAGAAGATAAGATAATTTTAAAAGGGTAAATTCCAACCCGAGGAGGTGCTCAAACAGGGAATATGAAATTTACGATGGAAATTTTTGTTTGTAAATGTTTGGTTTTAATAATAATAATTATTGTTGAAAATCGATTAGCCTATTGGCGCAGTGACACTTCTATGTATTTTAGTACAGATGTCTCAAGTTCGAACCACAGTGTCGGTGGACCAAATTTTTCAATTTTTTTTCTTATTGTAATTTTTTTTTTATTTTTCTTCTTTATCTATAAACACGAATGTTTGGTTTTTGCTTTATTCATCGTATTTTAGTACGGTTAGGTTATGTTAGGATTTTGCATTAATTGATTATATCAATATGCGAATCACACGGACAACCCCGGTTGAGATGGTTATATACACTTATACATTAAAATATAATATCATTAACACTTAAAAGATTTTGCTTCCACAGTGTGTTACATCCAAAAGGAGTTGAACAATCAGAATTTTTTTTCCAGGCAAGGGAAAAGTTAAGATAAGTTTTGAACACCCTACACCGAAAATTAAATAACGAATTGAACAAAGTTAGAGTTGGTAAATTTAACGGGCAACAAAGTGCACGGGATCAGCTAGTAGCTTATAAGAGTATTTAACATTTAATTAAAGTAATTAAACAAAATAATATTCAAAATGTGTAAATCAATTAAAATCAATAGATTACACGTATTTTAAATAAAATAATAATTACATACACATTGACAACGTTGTTACAGTACATAATTAATCAAAATATTAAGTTTATATTTAAATTAAGTTTTGTAGCTTTAATAGCTCATCTATCGAGTTTTTTTTTATTAGAAAACAAGAAAATATACAATCAGTAATAAGTGTACCTATTATAGGTAATATGAGGAGGGGGTTCAATATACAGGACTGGACGGCGTTTTAGACCCTTAACGGCGTTAGGGTCCAATGAGTGGCAATGACCCTACTTCAAATCTTTCGAGTTTCAAAGGTAGTTCATACAATTGAAACAGACGTTACATTATTTAGAAATGCACATAATTAGAAAACTATTTTGGTGAAAGTACCTATATCAATATTTAGGAAACCTAAAAAATACTGACTAATCCTTAGCAATGTTCTAATTTCGGACTTACCCAAAAATCTTGTTGAATCTTAGGATATTTAGACTAATGCAGAATGCAGAATTAAAACTTGCTTAATTACTATCGATCTAAAAATGTTAAATTCAGTCAAAGGTTTCCATGTACCTAGTGTTAAGTAATTCAGTCACTCATACATTTTTTATATACAATTAAAATACATGTAAGTCCTATAGGTAGGTATTATTATTATTATTATTATTATTATTATCATCATCATCGTTATTTATAAACATTTTAGTAGGTATTAAAATATGATATTAGTTTAGTACTGTGGTGGATCGTATACAACAATAAATAGATAAGTAATTATTTCATATTTATAATGTTTTTATATAGATTCACCAACGAATGATAACCTTTTGTCTAAACAATAATTGTTGTTATGATGAATGCACGATTAGCTTACTGTTCTTTAAATTATTTTCACCAAATAATCATTTAAAAAGTATATAAAACAGTATTTTTGTTCGTAATACCTGTGTGATTACTGCTTATGCAATAGAGTTTTAAACAATTTTAATCTCCTCAGTATTATTTGTTAATAAATATTTGTATTCTTTTCAAAAGCGGTTGATTTGAAAATCATATAGATAGTATATACCTATAATGAATAAATAAATAAAAATACAAAATATTAAAAATGTGTGGTTGACAGTGCAGATAACAATAGATGTATTTTTTTAAACGTATTATATATTGTTGTGATATTGACTTTTCTTGAGAGGTGTAAACTCAAAATAAAAAAAACAGCTCATGATTTTTCTCTTAATATTTTCATAGTGAATTATATATAAACCATAGATCTAATATTGAAAAAAAAATCAAAATTAATTAGTTATGTAGACCCGATAGAAAATCATCGTCTAAGATTTAACAATAATACAATTTTGTAAATAGAAATTTCTTATTTTATTTCGTGTCTTCATGTATAATTGTTTCTGTTCACTATCCATCTATAGTCTATACGATTCTATTCATTTTTTTAATAAAATTAATACATACTATGCTAATGTGCTATTATTAGTATTTTATAAATATTCTTTAAAATAAATAAATAAAAAAAAATTCTTATTTAGAATTAATTAATGATTATTGGCACCTAAAAGTCTGATAAAACTATTTATTCGATGGTAAATGGTTCAATTAATTATTAAGGAGTTTAACAAATATTTTATGCGAAAAATTGATACATTTACATTTGTAATTACAAGAAAGAAAAAAGAAAAAATAATGGTATAATCATAATATTAATGATAAATATGCCATTAGCCTATTAAGCACATTTTAAATCAATTAACTGTAGTAATAATGTCTATTATTAATAAAATATTTCACGCTTGTTATATATTAGAAATTAGCTTAGTGTTTACCACTCAATAACGATAGTCGTGGTTCGTAGCTATCAGTGAAACATAGAGTAAGCAATCATAGAAAATGAAACTTGAACTTTATTTAAAATTTTAAAATAATGATTTTTTAATCAGTTAACAAACAGCACGTAGGTAATATAATATAACGGTCACGGAGTAAAATATAATGACCATATTATCATGTAAAATTCTTATTTTGAGGTAGATTACCATCCTAATATACCTAATATATAAAACTATTCAAACATTTTCATCCATAATATGACTGTTAAAAACTGAACACTGATTCATTGACGGCGTCTTCCGTACCTTAGTCTTTTTGTTTTAATTTTTTTAAATCTGTTTACTGTAAATTATTATTTTTATAAACAGTAGGTACCTACAATAATTATATATTATTTTTTGCACACAAATAAGAAAATAAATTATTGACGGAGGTAAACATTGCGATGATAAAACCAATACTATTAAATTCTATAAGTGAATTATTAATCGAAGCACGAGTAGGTACGGATTAATTTTAAAGATTAACAAATTCATTTTTATATACCAACATAAGCAAGAGTTAATAGAAGCATCCATTGAATTTTGAAATCAATATAAGAGTTGAACTATTCACATTTCTTACCCATTTGATATAGTTTACATTAATTGTTATTAATTAATCCTTACCCCAGTACTTCACCACAAGCTTAACTTAAAGGATACCTACTTTACTTAACTAGGTAGATTGTTGATATAAGCTAATCCATTGTAAATTTGTCTTGATTTGATAGTAAAAATACAATGACATTGTTTTTTAAATTCGGAGAATGCCATACAATCTTTATAATATTGTAATTCAATGATAATTTTACAAAAAAAATTGAGAACATACAAAACAATGTTAATACCTCCGTACTAATAGCTTCCATTTAAAACCTAAAGGTTATATGAGATCAAGTTCAATTTTATATTTTAGTTTTAATTTTATGTTTGCTTCTGATAACATACGGAACATAGTTATTACTTATTACTGTAGATATTGGTTCGAGTACTTATATTTATACATTTTGAAAGTCAAGTGCACTCAAATCTATAATATTAAAAAAACAAGTCTTTTATCTAATAATAGTAATAACAGATATTACTAAATCAATATTGGGGAAAAGATATATATTTTAATAACATAATAATGTATTATATTGTATAAACTTTATTTATATTTATATATATATATTTAAATTGTATCTATATTAAAAATATATTTTATATGGTGTTTTAAACATAATATACTATAACGTATACAATTAAGTAGGTATCTATTTAATATAAATATATAATATAACTAATTTAAATATTGGTACACGTGCAGTAGGTACGTAGTTCATACCTTTGAATATGTTAATTATCTTATGTTATAGTCTATAGAACTGAAGTTTTTCTCGATACTGCTAGCTCAATGTACGATCAGGATATTAAAAAAAATATGTGGCAATGAACAATCTAAGATGATGTTTTAATAGTATAATTATATTAACACGTATTGAATGTTATAATAAGGTACCTAATACGGCTGTATTATAATCTATAATAGGTACATACTTCTCTGACAGGTGTATTTAACATGTGTAAGATAAATAATTAATTAAGTAAAATATTGGCTACAATCAAGTGTATATAATATAATTATCTTGTCTTATGGATTACTTTAATGTATTACCGATTTGGTTGAATATATATCATAATATATAAGTGAGGTATAAATATTATGTATTCGAGTATACATCGAGTAATATTCGTTACACTATAAATAGTCCATTATCTGTATAATATCAATAATTTATAATCAATAGATAAACGATATAATTGTTATTATTTATTATATTATTATTATATACAGCCAATAAATAAGGTGACGGTTATTAGGAATACCTTCACGAATGAAGTATTTTACAATTTAAAATAATTAAGATGCATGACGTAACAATGCGTGCATTGTACAAAATAATGAAATACTTGAGTAATTAATTGGCGTTTTGTTAAAGACAATAATGGGAAACAACAATGGAACGACACGTGGACGGATAAGCTGAGAAGAGATTTATTGAGGTTCTACGATAGACACTCGAGACCAGTTATCAGTGACCATCTGACTAATGTCACGGTCAACACCGTTTTAAAATATGTCGATCTGGTAAGTACCTAACAATAATTTTGCGAATACATATTATATAATTACGTGTTGTACAAACTCGCTTCCGGATTAAACGGAAAGCACGAATAAGCCCGAGAAGAAAATCGTTGCCCTGAAACACTTGCAAACAAAAAACGAAATAAAGGCATTCCTCTTAAGCAAATAGATAAATGTATCAAACAAATTATAAATTCTCCTCCCTCCCCCGAAAACCGTGATGTATAAATCCTGCGTCCTCTGTATCTATAGTTTAAAACGGTAATGTCCATGTTTCATGTATAATAATTAATAATGTAACGTTGGACTAGTATCCATTACCAAACCAATTTTTAATCAGTAAACTCTCGTGGAAAACGACCCTGATTACATATATTTAAGAACTAGTCATTGTGTATACCATTTGCTTGTAAACATTCTACTATTATTTATAATCATTTGTAAAACGTACATGTTTGCAGGACTTCCAAAATTCAATTATGACCATTAACGCCTGGGTATCGATGGTAAGTATACTTATACAATATACCTAATATCGATGGTTACACGACAAAAAGGTTTCCTGGACACTAAAGGTCCAAGTGACATTGCTTATTATATTATCGGATTGAGAAAATGATTTGCTTTACAATGAGGCAACGAGCATGCCCAAAAACAGCTATGACCATTATTTAACAAACATTATGAGTCTTAAGTTTACGATATTATAATCCGCAGATTTATTTTTTATTTTCTCAAAAAGGAGTCCCCCAAACGGTATTACAAATGTTTAAGGGACAAGCGATGTTTCTCAAAACTGATTGTTTATATATATTTTACAGAAAATACTTGAGGTATTATATTATATTACAATATACTTCATAAATAATAATAACACCAAAATATAATGATGGAGAATAAGTCCATTAGATAAATTATGTAAAAAAAAAATATACGGTACCTACAAGTGCAAAAAGTATTAAACAAATGTATCCAAATTTCCATATACATGTGAATAGTAATCAAACATGTATATTTATATAAATTATAAATAAAGAATAGTAAAATAGGTATTTGAAATAATGCAGAATCCTGAGTACAAAAAGTTATTGCTTATCGAAAAAATATTAAAATCACAACAAAATGTGTATCGATTTTTCCAAAAAATGTCACCTAGTCCTTTTTGCCGTGCAACCGTCGAGTTATGATTATGTTTAACCTTTAAATACCTATTCGAAATACAATAGTTATATCTTAAATGGTTATGGGTCGACAATCGATCTTAATAATTCACTAATACAGATTCACATAAACTTAAAAAAGTTTTTTAATTTTTGTATTTTTAATGAAACGTTTATGGTTTTACACGAGAAAAATTGTTTATAAAATTATATTCGGCCAAAACGGTCTTTAAAGCTAGCCATTTTTAGTCGTAAACTGTTGCTAAAACGTAACTTTCGTACTCCTGCTTTCGTAGACTTGGCAAGATGAAAAACTTCTGTGGAATGTATCAGATTACGGAAACATAACAGGTGTAAACATGGCTTATGATGAAATATGGATGCCCGATATTGTGGCCTACAACAGGTAGGAATCGTCTATAGTCAAATATTGCAAAACTGGATAATAAACGTATAAAGATCGCTTTTTGACTGATATTTTTGAGGTAGGTATCTCACATTAATGTACCCAAAGTTGATAAACGATTTCCGGAAATCGAATTCGTTTTATTCGATGTGCAGTCTTTTTAAATAATAAAAATAAAAATAATATTATATTATACGTAAAGTATGCTTAAGCATCAAAGTACAACATATCAGCTACCATCCAGATATATAATAATATGGTTGTATCTTTTATATTATTATCCAAAAAACAAATACCTCAGAACTGTTTATTTTTATAAAAATTACAAATGGGATTATATAAGTTATTGTTATTTAAGTATTTGGTGAGTTCATCAAAAGTTATTTTTTGGAAAACCGAGTTATTCTCAAATTTTAATAATTAAAGTAGGTATACATTTTGCAATAAAATTAAACACTTATTAGTTTTATTCGAAGCATAAACGCACACTTACTTAGGGTATCTATCTATAACAATACTATAGATATTTTAGGTAGTTTTTAGTTGTAGTTTAAAAAATGTTTCAGGAGAATAACATACACATATAGAATTTATTTAAGAACTAAATGCAAATTTTTCCAGTTTGGCAATTAATCGAACTTCGCTTAACAATATTCCAGCGGTTTATATTGATGAATTTATCGATAACAGTTAAATCAAAACCGAATGTATTAATAATATTGATTTGTTTTCTGTTTCGTAGTGCTGACGGGCAACACGATGAGACTTATGGGAAGATTAACTGTGTAGTCCGTTCGGATGGAATGGTTCATTGGATACCACCAGCCAAGTTCCGAGTCTTTTGCGATGTAGATTTGACCAATTGGCCATTTGGAGAGCACACCTGTTCGTTGAGACTTGGCTCTTGGACGTACGACGGCAATTCCGTTAGCATGCAAATCAATCAGAAAATAAACGTACGATTAGTTTACATTAATTATTGTTTTATTTTTTTGCTACACGATTTTATTATTTTACCGTTGGAATTAACTCATAAAGAGTGTTGTGCTCGGATAATTTTTTTGTTTAGATATCTGAACTAAAAAAAATATCTAGATGTAGGTAGATAGATAATGAAAACATGTGAGCAAGAAATTTAGATAGACATTTATTATTTAAATAATTTATTTTCATTACCCAACATATTATTCTTAAAAAAATAAATTAGTAACATATAGTTTTCATGAAGTTCATAGAAAATATCAATACTAATATCTATTAGTTAAGATGGAATCACTAATGATTATTCATATAATATGTTAAATTATATATTAAATTATCGTGCAAAATGTATCTAGACTGTACAGTTAGGCTGGATGATTTATATCTTAAATGACAGTTAGATATCAATTTTGTAATTTATCTAGACAAGATAAAGATACAATGTGAGTTGTGATGGTTAGTTACCTAAGGTTCATGTGGTCCTCCTGTTTTTAGACTGCCGAAATGATAAGCTTGGAAGAAGGTTGTAAATGGGACATCACAAAGGTGACGCAAAGACGAAGAGTCGAGAGCTACTCTTGCAATTCCAACGACATATACGAGGACATTCACTACAGCATCACCGTGAAGAGAAAAATACCGGCGTACCACAGCATAGTAGTCATACCAGCGATAGGTACCTAATAACAATTATATTTGCAAATACAATTGTGTTAGCATAGATGAACTTGAGATTTTCACTAGGTCAGGATTAAATAAAATATCATTAGGCCCCTCCCTCGAAAAATATGTTATCTCTGTCTGTTCGTGTCGTGACGATTAACATCGACGGTATAAAGGCATTTTTTTTTGTCATGTAAAAATGTTTAAAAGGCCACACATGAAAAGACACATACAAACACCACGAAAGGCCATTCGCTTAGCTCATGAACCAAAACACTATATTATAATGCAACAAATTTGTCGAATATGTTATTTATAATTGTTTGTGCTCTCGTAATTTAGTCGTCGTGTTCCTGACGCTATCCGTCTTTTGGCTACCTCCGGAGTCGACGGAGAAATTCATGTTGAGCGGCGTTACGCTGGTCGTGGTATGCATACTGTTGATGATGATCTCCGGCAATGTGCCCATCATGAGCGATCGTATCCCGTTAATAGGTGAGTTCCGTGTTTCCGATTTCGTCGAATATAATAAAATTGTTACAGTGAAACGCTGAAACATATATATTACGAAGTTCCGCGGGAGACTAGAAAAAATACGTTAAATAGAATTAAATACATTTGGTTATCAGTTCTCGACAATATTTCTTTAAACAGAACATTTTGTTAAACGGAAGTTTCACTGTATACATATACAGTATAATAGTATATACATAGTGATTCACCAAGCATGCCAAAGCTCTCTTTTGTCTTTAATAATACAGTAAGTTATTCAAAATCTGATTTTTGAAATCTTTAAATAATATATATATTATATTCACATCCTTGAAATTATTTGTACCACTTAAGAAGTGTAATGTAGCGATTCAGAGTAAAAACTTCTGTTTTTAAAAAGAGAAGGCGCCCTCCTCTTTTACTGTAAATTATTTTTTTGATATTTTTTTTTAAAAATTTTGATTTCGGACGAGTAATTTCTCAGGTATTAAAATGTTTGTTCTAATGCGATAATTGTCCTTAAAAATGGTTTTACAAAACTTTAAATATTGGATCTAGTATTTATTATACATAGACCATTTTTAAAATTCATTAATATTGATAAATTAATATTAATCACCAACATTTTAAATAACCATAGCCTCCATATCTACCATTATCTTGGACTTATTATTGATAGTACACAAAGTCAAATAATTCAAATACTATTTGTTTTAATTTTGATTTCGATACGTCAACATTTTCAGAAAAATTATCCTGTAATTAAATTAAATTCGAAGGAGGAAGAGAGTTTCTCATTTGAAAAACAGAAGTTTGAGTCGCCGCACAGAACACTTCTTCAATTACATAAACATTTAAAAATGTATAAAAATGTTCTTTTAAAAATTCCAAAAATCAGAACTTAAATTATTTCATTATTATAATAAAAACGGGGGTGATTATGCTTGGTGAATCAATTTGTATGCATGGGCAGATACAGTGCTTATTACATTACCTATTTAATTTTTTGCTTACCGTCTGCTTTGCAGTAATATTTTACTCAAACTCGCTGGGCATGGTCACTCTATCGATGGTATTCTCAGTGCTATTACACAATCTAGCTAAATCCAAACAACCCGACCACAAAGTACCCAAGTACATCACTCAGCTGTTGAATACGAAATTCGGAACTGTCATGAGGTTTACATCAATGAAGGTAAATATAATTATTCGTAATAGTGGTAGGTATTGTGGGCATAATGGTACATTAAGATTACACAATACATATTATTATTATTATTGTACAACTTAAGACGAGATTAAAACACTTAATTTTTTAACTGTATCATACAATTATACACTTGCGTTGTTATCCGCTGTTTATCGCAAACACTGCAGCCGATAATTAACTATTATAAAGTACATTTATGTAATAATATGACTATAGGTAGTATTATATTAATATAATATATTACTGTACTTGAAATTTAGATAATGGTTTTCACTCAAACGATAATAATATGTATACTGTACAAGTGTCTTAACGTTTGTATAATAATCTCAAGTAAGTTGTGTTATCCAAACCCAATATGCAAAGATTGTATTGGTTTTGCATTGGATTTTTTTTTTATTAATGTGTTTTGTGAACATTTTTTCGAGTAGTGGTGTTTAAAATTACGCATACGAGTTGGTCCCCTACAATTACCTACCGAAACGGTTCCCAGGTAGTCTATATAGTTTAGTATTTACCAACCAGAAATATTTTTGTTGGGTAACTGTCGTAAACTAATAAGTTATAACAATAAGAAAATAAAAATTAATTTATATTAAAAATAGTCTTTATATTCAACAGAATTAAGTATTCATTATTCGGTATTGCATTATATTATTAAAATTAAATGAGAAAATTGCTTTTAACAAAAATGATTATTAATGCATATTACTAAAATATGATGGCATACTTGATTTTTTGGTAGGGATTTCCCTAAAAAGGTGTAATAATTTCTGGTTTATCAAAAAAAAGTTGGAAAACACTAGTCTATATAAGTTTCCGGGTGTTCTATATTTAACGACCAGGAACGAATTTCTTACTTCCCTCTCGAAAAATTTCAAATGACCTTCGGCAGGGTTTTAGTTGGGGATCCAGCGTTATTAATACATTGAAGAGGACATGCAATCGGGTTTCTCGGAAATAGTTTCTTTACGTGTATGGAAAACTACAAAAAGCTGTAAAAAATGTCAGCATTAGTGCGGTTTACCTCCACTTCAAATCGTTTTCTGAATGCATTGTTATACTATAGTATTACCTTTAAACTTAATATCACAAAACTCTGCTAGAAATGGCCGAAGTGAAACGGGCACTCTCAACCCATTTTCAGCTTTATCAAGTTAGGGTGTGATTAATAAACTATAATATGTATATTGTATATAAAAAAAAAAGAATTCAAACTTTATAACATATATATAATTCATATTTAATCATGTATAATAACTGAAGTTTGACAATAATTGGAAATTAATTCTACATGATTTACATTTTGTTATAGAACGATTACGAGGATAAGATATTGGACGAATCAAATGAAGATAAATCACAACATCCTCAACTGAAAGAAAGTCAATGGTATTATCTGGCTCTGATTTTAGATAGAACGATGTTTATTATTTACTTATTTTTGTTCATTGCTATGGTGATTTATTTTCTGAAGTGAATAATATGAGAGTAATATTTCACAAAAGATCAATATTTGTGTATCTATCTACTAGTTTCTATTGAGGAACATTTTTTTTTATACTATTCGTATCGATTTTTGCTCTTTTATAACTCTTATATTTTTATAAATTTATAAACAAAGGTATTTTTTAATTATATTTATATCTAATCCTATTATTAAAAAAAGTATAGTTACTTATTTGTTGATTATAATGAATATTTTTGGCTTTAATTATTAAATATAGGTACTTTAATTTTATATTTTTAATTAATGTCTATGAGTTTCTATATGACTAATATCTATAATTTGATATAAGTTTTATATTTAAAAAAAAATATTAACTAAACAAAAAAAATGTATTTTAATTAACAATATTCGTTAAAGGATATTTTTTTGATGAACTTGTATACAAATAAATATTTAATACAATGCACATGTCTTGAATAATTTAGATCACTTATTTTTCAACGTATTATGTAATATTTATGTACGATAAAAAAAAAATGTAATACATGCTAACATAACATATAACAAAAACATAAATTCAAAAACATGAACAAGAATTAAAACAAACAGTTGAACAAATTTTCATAACCATAGTATAAGTATATATTATAAATTATAATTATTATATATATTATGAAAAAGTAAGTAAATTTGATTTGCATTTTCGAGAAAAATTCTAAGAAACTACAAAACATTCAAGTTCCTCATAATACTTAATACGTGTAATATATTATAATATGATTAATATTCTAAAGAAAAAAAATAATAAAATAAAACAAAATTCATTGACCCATAATATCTAAAGTTTAGCAAATAATTATTATCATTCAATCATTAAATTATGTTAGTTTTAGATAATACCTAACTAATGATGGGGGGATATCTTAATTGTAAGTAAATTGTATAATTTGAAAAATGTGGTATTATATTATAGTTTATAATAATATGTAAATATGTTCTGTTTTGCCATGTTGCTCATAGTTTACGCTAAATCCGGTTGTTTGTGGTATTTGCACTCGTTTTGTTTCTTTGAACGACTAAAATAATAACAAAGAAAACGTTATTGTTGAGTATTATATTACCTAACTTCAATCAACTGAAATTAATTGAAACGATAAAATATAATTGTTTATAAGATCTAAACGATACCATTTGGACCGTGTAAGCGAATAAGGTAAATATTTGTACGCACCGCAAGAAATAGAGGATCATACCAATTATGATGACCATTTTTACAACAAATCCAAAGCAAAATATGTATTCGACGACGCGTGGATCGTGTTTAAGCTGCTCCCATGTGGTCATCTGGTCGCATTGCAATTTGTCGTCTGGCATACAGATGTCCTTGGTGCATATATAGCTGCCTTGCAAAGTACTGCACATCGATTTTGGTTTTTCCGATTGGTTGCAAGAAGCTGAAAGGTTTATCACGTCAGGTTAACCCGTCGGTATACGTATCATTATATTATACTGATATTATGGTCATATAATATTAATAATACGAACTGATCAATATAATATTATTATAATATATACGTAATAAGCTCGGCTGGACGTTTGAAAACTGCACCGTTTCAGCATGATATTATTGATTTATTACTCACATTCCAAAACCACGAGCCCGTCAGACCTGCGGCATATGACGTCGGCGTTCGGGGTCAGTGCCCAATCGCAGGTCATGCAAGGTGGTATGCGGCAATCGCGGGTCTCCCACAGAGGATCTGTGCAGGCGGTGGTTCCGGCCGGCGATTGCGATATTACCGTACGGGATCTGGTCTCGTAGCCAATAGTCTCCTTCTCGCAATCCCCGTGACAATGCGACCACTGGCTCCACTCGGACAGGGTGCAGCCAGGACCGCAGGACACGTAACAGTTCTGCCAGGACAGCGGTTTTTGCTGCCCCAAAGAGCCGCAGAATGTTGACTCGACCGTTTCTCCGTCATTGGTCCTCACGCATGTCACGTTCCTGTTGGTCACACCATGTCCACAAGCGGCTCCCTGTGTCGCGGAAATTAAATATGTTACCCTTCGAATAATAATATTACGCCAGACACGGTTGTGTGTACTCGGCTAAGAAGGACTACGCGACGAGACGATGGTATACTCGGGGGAGCTGCAAATTGTATATTTTATAATACGTTTAGAAATACTGTAGAGAATTCCAGTGCAAGAACTCTGCATGATATTTCGGTAGTCTCTGATCATTCAAATGATTTTTAAGAAAAATATATTAAAATAATTTTGATTACAAAACGTTTATCGCTTATAAAATCGTAAATATAATACAACTATCGGTTTTTTTTTTTTTGGGGGGGGGGGGCTATAAAGTCACTATTTAAAGCAATTGTCGGGGATGTACTAAGTATTCCAATTTCTGCATAATGTGATTTGACTTTGTTCGTCTATATATTTCAAAATACGTACATGAAGTTGACATGCTGACCACGGGCCGAGTGACCAAGTATAACAAGGTACTGCTGGACAAGGTTTCCATTGTTCGATGGTCATGGGGCATTGTCTTCCCGTTGCACTCGGGTTCATAGCGGTATAAGCTCTGCGCGATACTCCTTTAAAACCAACGAATCACAATAATTATTAACGCCAGTTATGTCGATTAACCCTGGGGGACGCGCTTGGCATAATTATTATTCACCACAAACTAATTTTAATAAGCCCCAAAATAATTATTTTGTGCATCTTATATTCATAGGTAGTCATTACTAACTATGCTAACTATTTTCATTGAACCACAAAAATATCAAACATCGTTTTAAACATTTTTTTTTTATTTGGACAACACGAACATCAACCAAGTTACAAAAGTTCACTCTGCGAGGGTGCTATAATAATTCCCGGTTTCTAAACGTATTTCAATACAACGCAATAAACTATAATAATTGTATGTAGGTACAAATTAAAAATAATTGTTTGGTACCCTTTATATTTTTATGTCTTTTTTTTGATAATGCAGGCTACTGTGAATCTATACTAAATGCTCATATTTTGATATTCTTTAATATTTGCTGGTATGAATTTGTTTTAAACAGATTTGTGTTTATAAAATCTTAATACAACTATGTACCGGTAACTATAACGGACTGGCACAATGGGATATATGGTGTTTTGTAAACTTATGTTTAGAAACCTAAAACTAAATAATTTATTTAGTATACTGTAATAATCAATATTATACTTCAATAGAGTAAAACAAATAAAAATAATAATATTTAATTTGTAATATATTGCGTATAACACTTGGTACCTAATTACTTAGTGAAATTGAATCCAAACAATTATTATTTTTATTCGAACGAAGAAAAATGTTCATCATTGCTCACGAAACAGTGTGGTCTGATGCTACACCCTATACGCGTCACCAAAGGTTAAAGGACTTAGCACATTTAGCACTGTAACAACCACCTGTGTCGTTGCAAGAGCAACTCGAATTCCACGGTGACCAGCCTTCAAGAGCGCAATCGACTGGGCAATCGATATAGCACCATTTGTCCAACGGATTTGGTCTTGGCTGATCGGCACAAAACCTATTAGGGAGTGAATAATTATAATATTAATAGTTGGATAATATTATATAGGTGAATATAGAAAAGCTGGGTTAGGGTGTTATATGCATAACGTGAAAATATGCAAAATAAAATGTTAAAAAAATATTTATTATGTATATTTTTTAAATATAATAGGTATGTTTTATATTAATTTTTGATTTTTATTGATTTGTATTGATTTATATTTATTAATACGAAGGTATTCCTTTACCTATCGCCAACAACGAAAAATGAATTCCCTTGGAACCAGTATTCAATTTCATACATTTTAAATAACCCCAATATTTTAATTTTAAACATTCTTGATGAGCGAACGAAAAAAAAATTCAAAAAATGTGTTCAGTTCAATACCTAAAAATACTAAATATTAACATTGCTAAATTAGCTTTTAAACATTAAAATATATGCTAAATTCAGCAAAAAAAATTTAGTGTACGACATCCGGGAGTGTTTACCTAACATATTTGTAGGTATCTTAGCTGGAAAAAAATGCTAAGGCTAGACTATCCTTCTAATTAATATAAAGCGCATTACCGGTCTAAAACAGTTCTGCCATCGCTCCTCTCGCAATACACCGCTCCAACGGTCATGCCTTCACCACATGGACTGCCACCCAAAGGCAGACATGATACATTTGTTATTGTTTTCCAAGAATATTTAAAGCATGTGAAGTTCAAATGACAAGGTTGTGTTTGTATGGCTATTGGACAATTTGCTCCGGTAGGGCTCTGGCTTCTGAGCAACAACCTGGTCCGCTGTTGTTCTTGCGACGATAGGCAATCCTTCAAAAATAATTATTTTTATCGTCAGATGGGTATAACAATAAATAAGTGCACGTAGTACTTGAGGAGTCAATGTATAATATTTTTTCAATCATTAGTTAAAATACACATTTTTATTATTTTCAATTTTTGAAAACATTGATAAAAAATTATAATGTACTAATGTAACAACATATATTTTCTTAAATATACCCATAACAAACTTTGATTGGACTTTTAGCTATAATATTAGGATTCAATAATAAATGGGTAGTTAAAATACATTATTTACTTTTGGGCAAATTGACCAATCCGACCAGCTACTTAACACACAATCTCCAGGACATGCGATTGTACACAAGTTCACTCCATCTGGTCGTGTGGTCCAATCGCAGTATTCTTCCGACAACTCTATTCCAGTATTTATGTGAATACATCTGTTACAATAGTTAAATTAAAATAATTATTAGTTTAATGATTGATTATTATGAACAACTTAAATCACATGTTGTGTCAAATTGTTAAATCGTATGACTTAATCATAACATAAATATAATTATAAAATACACACAAGTACACAACTAATATGATTCTATCGTAAAAAAAAATATGTTTATGATATTTTAAATTCACTGTTTATTTACCGCACTAATCTAAACATTTCTCC